GGAATTCATCAGCCCCAGGCCTGTCGGAACAGCCAGGTTTTAACGGCTTTGCGGAAAGCCTGAAGGGTGGTGAGGGTCCGGATCTCCACGGGGAGATCGTTCCAGAGGGCCGGAGCAGCCACAGAGAAGGCCCTCCTCTGGGTGGTCGCCAATCGGCATTGGCTGGCGGATGGAATTCGGAGGAGGCCTAATCTGTGGGATCTAATAGGTCTTTGGGAGGTAATTTCCTAATTACTTGCATAGGGATTATTTTTTATACTATTTATGTTGTTTGTATTTTTTGTCATGGATTGCACCATTGAGATTAAAACCAATTTCATTGTATCATGATGCACAATGACAATAAAGGCTATACTATTATACTGTGACATGTGCAATTGGATTGATGGCAGCAATGATAAAATGTTTTACTGAATTTGGTGATGATTCAGAGCCTAATATTCATATACTTTTGTATATGCTTCAAGAAATGATCCAGTCCAAACCAAATGATAATGCTACAAGTAATGCCTCTTGATTCATAGTCTGAGCTGGAGGCAAACTTCTTGGGGAAATTTGACTTCATTCATTATGCATCTGAACATTATGAGACGAGAAAATTCATACTCAGAATCTGACTGAAGTAAATTTTTGCACTGCTTTCTGTATTTAGAAGGCTGCAAAAATTATGGAGGTTCCATCTTCTTTTGATTGGACTTGAAACACTGAGTTGAACCATGCAGTTATCACAGTGTCAGAAGAAATTTTGATTTTCTTCTCTCAATCCCAAGGAAGGAACAACATTTTAAGATGCACATCCAGAGGGGGGGGAATGAGGATGGAAAGGCTATTATATGTAGGACTTTCCAGTTGAAAATTTACCAAGCATATCTCCAAATTATTACTGATATGTATTATGAGGTCTATCAGAGCTCAATGGTCTCCCTGGCTTTAGCAAAGAAAGAAGTATTATTCATTTCTCCTATATTCTTTGCCTCCTCTAAATTTGACTGATAATATTAATGGTCCACTTGAAATCATTGCTAGTCATGATTACTTACATGTTTAGAATTATTGAACAGGGGCAGAAGCAACATAAGGTAAATGTAAAGGTTTCCCTCATACATATGTGCTAGTCGTTCCTGATTCTAGGGAATGGTACTCAGCTCTGTTTCAAAGCTGAAGAGTCAGCACTGTCTGAAGACGTCTCCGTGGTCATGTGGCCAGCATGACTAAATGCCGAAGGTGAACAGAATACTGTTACCTTACCACCAGTAGTGGGTTGCCGGCAATACGCCCCAGTATGGGCATACTGGTGCCTGCCAGGAGCACTGGGTACCATTCCGGTACGGTGCTCTGGAGGGCCCACCTGCCTGCCTGCCTTCCTTACCTGTATTTGAGCTCTTCAGTGCTTCCACACATGTGCACGGAGCATATGTCACCTGCGCGACGCTCCGCCGAGCAGCTGGAGCATCGCAGGAGGTAAGGACGCAAGTGTGTGCTGCGCACATATGCACATGTGCTGTGTGCATTCATGTGGTGGACCCCAGTCCCCGTTGCACCGTACCGGTTGCAACAGGATCCGGAACCCACCACTGCTTCCCACCAAAGGTGGTCCCTATTTTTCTCCTTGCGTGCTTTCGAATTGTTAGGTTGGCAGAAGCTAGGACAAATAACAGGAGCTCACTCCATTATGCGGCACTAGGGATTTGAACCATCAAACTGCTGACCTCTCTGATCAACAAGCTCAATGTCTTAGCCACTGAGCCACCATGTTCCTCTAGAAGCAGAATACCCCTTTTCTAGTTTTATCCTTGACTGATGCTGTTGTTAATATTTCCAAGTATGGGTTTGAAGGCAGACGTACATAAATTTGGAACTAACCCTGCCTCGTGTGTCTACACCTGAAGATTTCTTCTGCCTGTTTTATTTCTTAGTGTCCTCCTTACTATCAATCATCAGAGGTTGCCCCCAAGCAGCCGCAGAAGTATATACTATAGATTTGAGGCATTTCTATTGAAGCATCTGATAGAGCTGTTCTGAGAGTTAGTTGTCCTGGCATCTAAGAAGGTTGTTTGTGCAGTACTCACCTTAAAATACAGCTTACTCTTTTCTTTAAAAATATTTTTGTTGCTAACAAAGAAAAAAAATAACATATGATACATATTAAAAATATTTTTCTCAGAGCATTGGCTTATAACCTCATCAAAGGTCTTCCAAAAGACATTTAATTAACTTACCATGAACTCTATTCTTATTACTTAAGGATGGCTTTTCAATAGAGCTAAAACTCTATGTTCTCTTTCAAAAGTGTACAACTTTTTCCTCAAGTCAAAGCGAAACTCGGGCCTTTGCACGTTGGGCTAGAAGGCTCCAAACAATTGAGACTATCATTTGGCATGATAAAAACTCCTTAATTTCACAATACTTTCACAGGCTTAACAGTAATTAGAAAACTGTGAGCATCTTAGACTAAGCTAAGTACAAAAATTCCCGGAAAACTGGCACTCAGACAAACTGACCATCAACATGCACATAGACCTAAACAACAACTACATACCATTTGAAAGAGACAATAAAAAAGCCAAAAAGGAAACAAAGAGACTAAAAGATCTCCTCATTAGCAGTCAACACCCAGATGTACAGAGATCAACATCAGGATTAACACTAGGCCAACAACCAAGAAGTAAACAATATTCCAGTCAAGAAACTAGAAACCCAGACAAACAAGCTAACAATAAACAGTGGCCTAATCAAGAAACCATCAATACCACTCCCACCAATACTGATAGAGAAAACCACTAGTATATAAAATGAAAGCACACTCCACTCCCTTCAAGCACTGATGATGTTACCTAGTTTGGAAATGAAATGTCTCAAAAAAAAAAAACCCTCCATGAAAGCTCAGAGCACTAATGACCCCACAAAATTTATTTTGAATTTACTTCAACTTATATAGTTAAAAGAAAGTTAATATGATAATCTTTATTCATGATTTACCTCTACTGCAACCATAAAAATTGTATAAGACTTTGGAGGCCCCTGAAAATTGTAACCAAAGCTTATATGAGGCATTCAGCTCCCAGGTTGTGCAACTCAGGTAATTTGAATAAATAGTTTCCCACAGTTAAAGACCTTCTTTGTATTCCTATATTGTGCAACGATAGATTTTTATTTCAAGAGGTTTACAGGTTTTGTTTACCAAGATAACTACAAGGACAGTATTGAGGAAATTCGCATTATGTGATATCCAGCTTTCAGTGCCAGCTGAAGTAACCACATTCTAAACAAAGAAACTATTGTCAATATTTCTCAAATATTGCTTTGCATAAGTCAAACATCCATTATCCGGTACAATTTGAGCTGTTATCAAACTGACACCAAACACCTTCCTGACAAGCTAACCATAAATTTCCTTCAAAAAGTTATGCGCAGGCAGCCAGGGCTGTATGCGCACAATACTGGAAAAATATAGAAACCCCTACAGATGATAATGTAATCAGAAAAATTCTGGAATGTGCAGAAATGGATACGTTAACCTTAACAATCAAAGAAAAAGAAGATTCAGAATATTTTATGGCATGGGAACTTTTCTACAAATGGTTAGCTGACAGATACAGAGGTTAGATGAGTGGATTTATGTGAAATGTGGACTACATATGAAGAAAGAAAAAATGATTAGCAAATATTTTGATGGTTATATAATTTATATTATAATGGAAGATTGACATTGTACAAAATAAATACAATGAAATTGGTTTTAGTCTCCCTGGTGCAAAATAATAGCAGACACAAAAAAAGAAATAAAAATAAAAAACTAGTCATACGTTTCTATATGTGCATGGAGTGATTGTGGTTGTATTTAAAAGTCTGACAACCCAAGGATAGAAACTATTTTTAAACCTACTTGTTCATCTGGCTATACTTTGATGTCTTCTGCCCATTGGTAGAAGTGCAAAGAGACACTGACCAGGGTGTGAATCATCTCTGAGTATCTTCCTTACTCAGCTGAAGCAGCGAGATCTGGCGGTGTCATCCAGTGGTGTCAGAGGGCAACCAATGGTTTCTTGTGCCGAATTGATCACTCTCTATAGTGCTTTCCTGTCCGCAGCTGTTAAACCAGCATACCATACTGTAATACAATATGTGAGGACACTTTCTAT